AAACCTAACAAGCTCAGGGGAGGCCTACATGACAGGCTGTTGGGGTCCAGCCCCAGCAGGTCCAGGGGTTCCCAAAGGTGTGGACGGAGTTAGTGAAGAAGGAATGACACGGAGGCAGCGTTCAGTTGACCAGCATGGTTGGGTTCTCTCGCCTGGTTCTAGCCAGGATCTCCAGCCAGGTTCTGTGTTTATTGTCTTGTTACATCTGTATTTATACCAGTTGATTTTAATCCTGTCAATTCTATTCCAAAGGTTAGGGTGTTTCTTATCTCCATTCCACAGTTACTCTATTGTTCTATTAAGCTACCAGGAAGTAACTGAAGAAGATTATCCTAAGTAAAGATTATGTAGGTTAAGCGTGATTGTTCATAGTTAAAGTGATTAATTACCCACCTGGCACTTAGTTAAGGGGTTTCATTCCCTCCCTAACTCCAGGGAAAAATCCCCATCTGGGGAAACAACCTTTCTCGGAGAGGTGACCTTGGTTAAAACACATAGCGCTAAGAAGGGGAGCAAACATATTAAGAACAGTATGCCATATATGCCAGATCCCTTGAAACATATGCTGTGCAGATGTTTCTTCCCTGCAGCAACTGTGTCAAGCAGTAAGGATGGACTGGCTTCCGGCAGCAGGCCTTAAAAACCCAGAGACTAACACAACCACACAGGGTGGTTTTTTTTTTTTTTTTTTTGAAGTTTCAGATATTTATTAATCGGTGTAAAGCCCAACACGATACTCCAACATGTCTTCGAGCATTTGGAGGGGAAATAGTTCCCCGTTAAGTGGACAATGGTGCAGATGGCCTCTGGAAGACCTTCATTCTAAGCAGCTGTTCAGTGAAACATTTCATTAAGAAGTCTAGACCTTCTCTCTTCAGTTTGCTGTAACCTAAATTCATTGAGTAGAACTTGTATTGATCATTGGGACCCAGCTTGTTCCAGGATTCTGGGTTATTCTTTCTGTCCCAGCAGACATCTGGATTGAACAATGCCAGGTGCAAGATACACAGCGCTGCCCCAGTACTTTCGTCTCCAATAAATACAAAGTGGAGGTTCAAGCGTGGATACTTCTTGGCCTGACCAAGGATCTGATGGAGCATGATTTTGGCAGAGGGATCAGGCCCAGAAGCAGAGAAATACAAAAGAACAAGAGGCAGGACCAGGTAGTCTCTATGTAAAAATTCCTAACTAAATGTGGGTCATGGAGGGTAGTCCCATCCTAAGCCTGTAGATTCCTTGACAAAGGTCAGTATTTACCTTTAAAATCATGTATTGTCATTGCACAAATTAGAACAAACTCTCCAAAAATTTATATGGAACCAAAAAAGATCCCGAAATAGCCACAGCAATCTTGAGAAAGAAGAACAAAGTTGGAGGAATCACAAGACAAGATATCAACTTATACTACAAAGCCACTGTACTCAAAACAGCCTGGTTCTGGCACGAGAACAGACACACAGATCAATGGAACAGAACAGAGAACCCAGAAATTGAGCCAAACCATTATGCTCAATTAATATTTGACAAAAGAGGTAAAGTATACAATGGGGTAAAGGAAGTCTCTTCAATAAATCGTGCTGGGAAAATTGGACAGGAACAAATAAAAAAATGAAACCAGACCACCAATGTACACCATACACAAGGATAAACTCAAAATGGATAAAACACTTAAATGTAAGTCATTAAATCATAAAAATCTTCGAAGAAACCATAGGCAGAAAAATCTCAGACATCTCTTGTAGCAATATGTTTACCAATACATCTCTTAGGGCAAATGAAAATTAATGAGAAAATAAACAAATGGGACTACTAGTACATCAAAATAAAAAGCTTCTGCACAGCAAAAAAAAAAAAAAAAAAAAAAAAAAAAATGACAAGAGAGCACATTGCATGGAAGAACATATTTGCCAATGATACATCCGATAAGAGGTTAATTTTCAAAATATGTAGGAAACTCATACGGCTTAACAAAAGGAAGACAAACTATCCAATCAAATAATGTGCAAAGGACCTAAATAGACACTTCTTCAGAGTGGACATACAGAAGGCCAAGAAGCACATGAAAAAAATGCTCAAAGTGTAGGAAGCATGCCTCTATGATTCATCTTCATAGAAAAGAAACAGCATGTGGCCAGGTCATCACTGAATTTCCCCAGAGCAAAGAGGATGTTGGGGGTGGGGAGAAGGTATGAGCTATACACATGGCTGAGAGCCCATGTCCTAGGAAGATTCCCCTAGACCAGTGGTTGGCAAACCGCGGCTCGCGAGCCACGTGCGGCTCTTTGGCCCCTTGAATGTTGCTCTTCCACAAAATACCATGTGTGGGCAACAACACACAAACCTGACTTACCCAAACTTTCCAAGGAGATGCAAGGCCATTGTTCACATTAGTGTTTGTCAGTCATTGTCATGATTTAATTTTATGGATATTGTAAGGTAAATTGTAAGGAATTTAATTTTATCAATAAATAATATTGTTATTAAGTATGATATCAAGTTTTATTCAATGTACCTATAGTTTAACTAAGACTTAAAACTTTAAGTAAAGTTTATTAAGTTAATTTTAGGGAACGTTGTGGAGTGAAAGAAGATGTAGTGTCGAGGATTGAGAAAGGTATGTTGAGATGGTTTGGACATATAGAGAGGATGAACGAAAGGAGATAGACGAAACAAGTATACAAGACAGGTGTGGATGGGAGAGTTGGAAGGGGTCGACCTCAGCGAATGTACCTCAATCAGATTGAGGATGTTTTTAGCAAAGGCCAGCTTAGGAGTACCCTAATTAAATTAATAACAATGTACCTACCTATATAGTTTAAGTTTAAAAAATTTGGCTCTCAAAAGAAATTTCAATCGTTGTACTGTTGATATTTGGCTCTGTTGACTAATGAGTTTGCCGACCACTGGCTTAGACAAATGGAGGTGAGAGCAACTAGAAAAGGCCCCAGCCCATTTTTTTTTAAGTAACCCAATGGGAGACAGCAAGACCTAGGCGACCTATTAGGAAATAGGTGGCCAAATAGTATTCAGTCAATGAGGAACTGGAGGAGGGTCTAAATAAATAGGCTATGTCCCCTGCCCCACGTGTGTTCATGTACAATGGGCACCCGCTCTTGAGAGTGTTATTAAAAGTCTCATTTTCGCCATGTTTCTGTTTCCTAGTCCATCATTTGAAATTTGGACAGGTGAGCCATTTCTCACAAAAGTTAGTAATCATGTGAGAGTTGCACATCAAACCAACAATGAGGTATCACCTCACACCTGTCAGAATGGCTATCATAAAAAAAAAAAATCAACAAACGACAAGTGCTGGAGAGGATGTGGAGAAAAAGGAACCCTCTTACACAGCTGGTGGGAATGCAGACTGGTGCAGTCACTGTGAAGAACAATATGGGGAGTTCCCTCAGAAAATTAAAAATGAGAATTACAATTTCACCCAGTAATCCCACTTCTAGGAATATATCCTAAGAAATCAGAAACACCAATCGGAAATAATATATGGACCCCTGTGTTCATAGCAGTGTACTAGGGCAACCCCTCTGCACCTGGAAATGCTTTATATCGTATAATTGCTTATTGTATGCTTTCCCAACTAGAGCAGAGATTTTGTCTATCATTTATTTATTTGCAGCACCTAGAACATTTCCAGGAACCTAGTAGTTCAACAAATATTGTCTGAATGAAGGCAGGAAGAAAGTCTCCTAACCCTTCTTATAATCACTATTAAGTCATATGTGCCTCCAAGTTAGAGAGGCCAGGGAAATTTGAAACTGAAGCTCAAATGGGTCCATGTCATTTTGCCTTTCAGAAGTTTCAAATGCTTCTGTGCTTCTAACTGGCTTGGTATAAATGCTATAGTCAACCTCTTTAAAAGGTAGTGGGGAAGTATCTTTGATTTTCCCCTGCTTGCATGCTGACCCCATATGTCGCCATTCCTGCTGTCATATTTTACCCCCCATGGGTGTCCCTTCTTTCGAGCCTCTGTTCACACTGTCCCCCTGCACTCTTCCCCACCCTCATCTCCCTCCTATTCACTTATCCTTTGAGGGCTTCCTCAGCGCTTATGTCTTCTATCAATTCTCTCCTGTCACCTTAACCCCTACCAGGTTTGGGGACATGTTCCAGGCCTTGAGACAAGGTCTGGGGAACTTAAATACCTGGGCAAGTTGTAAGGGTAGAGATTCGGGTATGCGGAATAAGGGCCCCTTAATCACTGAGGGGAGGAGGAATCGCAGGGCAAGGGGTCAAAGAGATCCCAGCAGCAGGTTTGGTCTTCATCTTCTATTCTCATTTGTCTATTGTGATTTTGACAGCATCTCTGTGTAATTTTTTAGTGGTTTCTTTAGAGATTATAAATGCATTTTTAACTTTTCACAATATAGCTATACGCAATATTTTGTCACTTCAGTTAGAATAGAGAAACCTTAAAAACATAAAGTTCCCCTTACCTTGCCCCTTTTTATGTTAGAGGTATTTATTACATTTATGTATACTGAAAGCTTAATTAGACAATATTACGCTTTTGTTTTCAACCATAAGACATAATTTAAAAAAACTCAAGAGGAGAAGAATAGTCTATTGTAATTACCCCAAGATTTACCAATTCTGTTGCTCTTTCTTTATTTTGATGTTCCAAGTTTCTTTCTGGCATTATTTCCCTTTCATTTGTAGAATTCCCTTTAGCAATTCTTTTAAAGTAGGTCTGGTGGGTACAAATTCTCTTAGCTTTTCTTCATCTGAGGATGTCTTTATTTTACTTTTATTTCCAAAAGATATTTTTGCTGTATACAGAATTCTGGGCTGACAGTTCTTTTCTTTCAAACCTTGAAAAATGTTGTTCTACTTCCTTTTGACCTCTACAGTTTTGTTTTATTTTTTTAATCCTCACCCAAGGAGGTGCTTAGAGAGAGAAAGGGTGGGGGTGGGAGAGAGAGAGAGAGAGAGAGAGAGAGAGAGAGAGAGAGAGAGAGAGACATCAATGTGAAAGTTGTGAGAGAGAAACATCAATCGGTTGCCTTCCATACATGCCCCAACTGGGGATTGAGCTCACAGCCTAGGTATGTGCCCTGACTAGGATTCGAACCAACAACCTTTCAGTACATGGGATGACACTCCAACCAATGAAGCCACTCCGGGGGCTGACCTCTGCAGTTTCTAAGGAGAGAATCATTGTCACCAAATCATTATTTTCCTAGAGACAATGCATTGTTTCTCTCTAGCTGTTTCAATAATTTTTCTTTGTCATTGATGGTTTGGGAATTTGAGTATGATGTGTTTGGGCATGGATTTATTTGATTTTATCTTATTTGGGGTTTGCTCCACTGCTAAAATTTATAGTTATCTGTCTTTCTCCAAAGATGCAGTTTTCAACTATTATTTTTTCAGATTTTTTTCTAGCATCACATGCCTTCTTCTCTCCAAATAATTTCCATTAATCTGGCATAATTTCTATTTTCTGTCATCTTCATTCTGCTATTGAATCCTTCCAGTTAATTTTTCAATTTGGTTAATGTGTTTTTGGTTCTAAAATTTCCATTTGGTTCACCTTTATATCTTCTGTTTTAACTTTCCATTTTAATCTTATTTCAGAACTTATTTACAATTCTTCCTTTGAGAATTTTTATAATATCTGTTTTAAAGTCTTTGTCAAATAATTCCAACATCTGTGCTCTATCTCATATTGGCATCTATTGATTATCTTTTGAGAATTTCGTAGCTCTTCAAATGCCAAGTAATTTTGGATTGTGTCCTGGAAATTTTGAATATCACTTTATGAGACTTGGGGTCTTGTTTAAATCCCAGATAGAATGTTTGTATTTTTATCTTAGCAGGCCCTTGACCTGGTTAGGTTCAAGCAATAAGTTCCAGCTCACTTTTTGTGTGCTGTGGTAATAATGTCAGTTCAAGTTTCAAAGGCTTTAAATGGTGTTCAGAACTGTCCTGTGAGTGTGTCACCTATTGATTAATCTGAGACCTGGTAAGAGGTCTACCTGTTAGCTCAGTCCTCATAGTCTTTGGAATGCTAATTAGGAGCAGAGCCACCATGACAGGTTGGAGATTAGCCCAGATGTTTCCAAACAGTTTTATGGGATCCATTTCCTAATCTCTTCCTTCTCTCCTACCTCCCTAGTACTTTCTGGGTCCTTGGGCCTCCTTTATTCAGCCCATCAGCCCCAAACCACTCACTTCAGTGATTAAGTCTCATCTGGGGTCCAAATGACTAAAGGACAGGAAAGGGGGAGGGTGGGAGCTTGGGGAGAGTTGTTTGGCTCTGACTCTTGGAACTGCAGCTATACCAAATGAAAAATGAAAAATTCCCTCCGAATTTTGGCTTCTGCAGTTTTCCATGCTAGCTCCTTTGCTGCCACTACCTCCAGCACAAGATCCTGAGGTGGAAGTGAATGGAGAAAAAGGAAAAGGGAGGGAAATACAAAACTCAGGATGATTCTCTCAATCTCTGAGCTTTAAGAGTTCTCATTTCTGCTCCTCAAGTCAAAACGAAAGGGATTTTTCTGGGTCTCTGTCGGTTTTACAGGATGGACTTCCAGATTTTGACTATGTTGAGATCAGGTTGGAGATACCTGAAGAAGAAAAAAATATGGTAAATTCCCTGCTAGCTTGGTGGCACTTCAAATTCTGATATTCTTTCCCAATCTGCCTACTACTGCAGTGGCGCCATCTTTTGAAGAAACTAGCTACTGGGTGGCAATTTGATTATTCAATTCCTCAACCCTCAAGGGGGTAGCAATTCTTCCTGATTCTAGCCTTCCTTTTGTAAATTTCCCAGGAGCACAGAACAATCAGAATCCTGGAGGAGCTCTTCCCAGAGCATATCAATCAAAGAAAGTAGACCCAAATAGATCAAGAGATAAAATGCAATGTGTGTTGTGATGTGCTGCCCAGATCCCCACACTTTGAGACCAGAACATCCATTCCTCCAGCTACTAGGAGTTTTGATGATAGATGGCTCTCAGCTGAGTCCCTCTCTAGGAACTGCCCTGGACAGGCAAGCCGAAGACAGCGAACTTGCTCAAGGCCACACGGTATCCCTGCAGGCAGCTCACGTCCAGTGACTGGTCAAGTGGAGGTGTAAAGCTGGGCAGTCTTAATGCGAGAAAGGACAGCTCTGTCCCTGTGGAACTAAGTTTTTAACTCTGTCCTTTGTCCAGTGCTACCTCCTTCATTCCCCAGCAAGTGTGGATTGGAAAGCATTTTCCAATAAACCTCATGCACACAAATTGTCTCAGAGTTTGCTTCCCGGGGACACACCCTAAAATAACAGGGTCTAGGCATGGCACTCTCCCTATGACAGGACTTGGTTCAGAAATGGGCAAATGACTCAATTCAGGGCACATGACTTGTTCTGGAAATTTTTCCTGGCACTCGAGAGAACCATAGGAAAAGATGGTCGCTCTTCCAAATTTTTTATAAACCTGACCAGGACTTCTATGGCTCCAATTGCTACTGTCAAGTATATTTTGACCCCCAAGAGCAGCCAGCCTTAAAACAAAGTTCATACTGTGATTAGCAGAACGGTGAGATGGAAAGAACCTGAGTCCCTCATGACATCATCGATCATAAGAGTAATGTGCCTTGAAGGCCACACCACTTTTAGATTCCTTATTATGTGAGCCAATAAACTTTATTATTTAAAGTGGTCTGGAGGTTTATTTTTTTTTACTTGTTTCTGCTCCTTGCAGCCAAAACATCTGATACAAATGTGTATCTACTGACTCTTCCTTCCTTCACTGCTCCTGGAAAAGACTTTCATAAACATTGGAAAGAGCTTGAAAAATCACAACCTAAACAATTGGTCAAAATATTAAACTGTGACTAAGTTTAAGTGGTTGATGTTTTTTTAATCTTTTTCCTTCCTTCTTTTCTATAGGGAACAGAAGATATATTTTTAACTTAAAAAAAAAGGAGACCTGTAGAACAAATATATTTTATGTACAAAAATAAAACCACAGCAATATTTATAACTTGGTTGAGAAAAATTACCTTAAAAATTCTATTTTTAAGATCCAAGTACAATCTAGGGCTAGGCCATGATCTGAAATTTGGTATAGTTGGAACTTCTGAAAACTCCCTCTGTAATAGACAGGTAAAGGCAGACACCTGGTCATTGCAAATGATATTTATATGCCTGTGGAGGAGGAAGAGAGATTTTTGCAAAATTACTTCAGAAGGAGAATGCCTGTTAAAAAAACAACAACACATAGTTCCAAAAATGATTCAGTTTGCAATTTATAAAACAACTAATCCATTACAGCAATCCAAGAAAATGTTTCCTATCCCCAAACACACAGTGTCTTGACTCAAACTCTGAAGGTCAAAAGCCTATGATTTTGACAGACCAGTAAGGAAAGAGTTTTTAAGAAGCAAAGCACTCTTGCCCATCCATAGAGAATGCCACATTGTCATGTTTGAAGGTCAAGGATATGGGAGCAGAACACGCTTCTCATTTTAACATATTGGGGGCAGATCACGAGCATTCGTGTGTTTTCATATTACACGTGTTTTACATAAATGTTAAAGGCACACCTTAAAATTAAATACCCATTGCATTTTGAAGTTATTTTTTAGATGTTCTTACAAGCTAATATCTTCTTAAAGTATGATACTTTGTAAAACGTTTTTTGTACTCATGCAATAGAAACTTATCTGGCCACTGGGTAAAGCTAGCAATAAAACTACTGGTGCACAACGGGTTAACTATGAGAGACTCTCACATCTGCTGAATTAATCTTCTCCCCCAGCATTTGCCATTTCACACTTTTTTCTCCGGCATCTAAATGCAAAAGCTAATGGCTCCATATTTGTGGGTAACAGGCAAAACACAGGGCTGGATTTAGGGGACAAGCTTAAATCTCAGGTCTGCCCACCAACCAGCTGGGTGGCATTGGGCAAATCACCTTCTCTCTCTGGGGCTCATTTCCTCATCTGCAAAATGATCCCTCCGTCTCCACGATTATAGGTTCCTGGGGAAATAAGAGGACCTGTGTAAATGCTGGGGACGCTCGTGGCCATGACAGCCCAGTTTTCTGTCCTCTTCACTCACCCAACATTTCATAACAGTCTTAGCTAGCCCTGTCTACAGCCTACAGTGGGTGAGTCTGTGATGGTCAAGCCGCAGGGGGAGAAGATTTCTTCACAGGTACTCAAGCCAGAAACAACAAATCCTCTTCCAAATCTGCATTCAACCCCTACTGTACCTTTGGCGCCTTAAGAGTGAGCCCACATCATCACTGCAGATGAAAACTGAATCAAAACACCCCTGCTCCTTTTCTGCTTCACATTTTAGAAATGACCCAGAGGTCGTGGTGTAGGAAACACGACTGATTTTGTAGTAAACCTAGGTTAAGGGTGGTGGGAAATAGGGATTGAGTGAACCTGGAGTCCTTTGGAGGCTTACCCTTAGTTCACACCCAGGTCCTTGGGTACAGCATCGAAGCCAACCATGACTCATAAGACCAGGGCTAGAAGGGCTGACTAAGAAATACAACACAACAAAGAAATAGTAACAGACACAAAGTACTCTGCAGGAAGTTTGGCCTAAGCATGTCAAAGATTCTATAAGGAAGAATAGAGGGCCAAAGAGAGGCTTCTATAAAGTCTGTGAAAGAAACAGCAGGCAGCCTGCCGGGTGTGGCTGAATGGTTTACGGTCAACCTATGAACCAGGAGGTCACAGTTTGATTCCCGGTCAGGGCAGATGCCTGGGTTGCTGGCTCGATCCCCAGTGTGGGATGTGCAGGAGGCAGCCAATCAGTGATTCTCTCTCATCATTGATGCTTCTATTTCTCTCTCCCTCTCTTTTCCTCTCTGAAATCAATAAAAATATTTTTTAAAATAAAAACAACAGCAGGCAAGTGTAATGCATTTACCTTGACTCTGACAACCTTCTGGAAACAATTTAGAAAATTTGCTTATTGACTGTGTGTTGGATGTCAATAAATTATGTTCCCTTGGTTATGGAAATATTAGGATTATTGAATAGGAAAGTGAAAAATGTCTTTGTGGCCTGGATGGTGTGCTCAGTGGTTAGAGCGTAGGCCTGCACACAGAGATTCTCAGGTTTGATTCTCAATCAAAGGACACATATCTCAGTTGCAGGTTCGATCCCTGCCTTTGGTCAGGGTGCGTGTAGGAGGCAACCATTTGATGGGTCTCTCTCATGTTGATGTTTCTCTCTCTCCTCTCTCTCTCCATCCCCCCTCTTTTCCACTCTCTTTAAAAATCAATGGAAAAAATATCCTCACTCTTTGGATGAGGATTTTTTAAATGTCTTTATTTATGCATTATTTAGAATCATATGGAAGTGAAGTGTCATGATGCCAACATATTACTTGCAGATGGCTTATAAAACTAAAGTGTGCATGCGTGCGCGCCCGCGCATGTGCACACACACACACACACACACGCTAATAGCTGGTGAGTCTAGAAGTACAGTATTTGTGTGTTAATTATTCTGTTCTTTCAACTTTCCTGGGGTTGGAATTTTTTAATTTAAGATTATGATCAGAGAATATGGCCTCCGGGGGGTCTCACAGCTACAGGTCCTTGGGATGTTTTCCTTTCCAGGAGCCACTTGGCTTCCTGGGCTGCTAGCAAAAATAATCACTGACATTTATCATGACCAACCACAGAAGTTACCATTGCTAAGAAAAGGTCCCGGGGGGAATATTACCATCCCTATTTTACAAAGGAGAAAACTGAAGTACATCCAAGTGAGCCAACTTGTGAGAAGTCACTGCAGCAGCCATACCGACATCCTCCCTAGACTCCTGCTTCTGTTTCCTTCACTCCCAACAGCTCACCTGCACCCTTCCTCAGAGCACAGCCCTTGGCTATCAGCACCCCTTCACCTGGACACCATACTCGGAGAATTTATGTCCCTCTGAGTGACTCATAGCAATGGCCGCCTCATCCATAGCAGGAGACTAGGAATTCCTTCCATTTCAGTTTCATCCCAGAAGATAAATCCTCCTTTCATTGTGCCATGTACTTGCAAAGCTCAACTGCTTATTCCTGAAATCAAACCATTCCCCTCCCAGCATCCTGATAGCCCCCACACATGCTTGTCATTTCATTCCCTGTCCTCTTGGTTGCCATGGATGAGCAATGCTCCAGGATAAAGGCCCATAATTACAGGCTGACACTGTATTCAGTTGACTCTTGCAGCCACCAGATGTCTAAACAGAAAAGAGGCAAACAGAGGCCTTAAGGTAGCACCTGACTCTATACTTATTTAGCTCCTACGTGTTTCATGTGACATACTAGGTATGCACTTCATAGAAGAATTTGTTATGTTGACTAATTTTTAAATATCATTTGCTTGGCAAGGGCCTTGGAAGTCGTTCAAGTCTGCTTCTAGTGACAGGAAGCTCACACTTCAGCAAGATAGCTGGGTCCATATGGTGACCATCTAAAATTGTCACAAAGTTCTTCCTTAAGAGGAAAGCGTGTGATCATTGGTGCCTGAACTTTGTGGAATCTATTCTTGCTGTTCGGAGATTTCGTGTGCTTCCTTCAAAGATCTTGGCTGAATTTCAGAACTAAAATTGGCTGAATAACCATATACTCTCTGAATTAAGTGCTTTTTTTTCGAGGAGGTAGCAATCAAAATAATGTAATAACTGGTATAGCCAAACTAAGCAGAATGGGTGCAGGCAGAAGTATATCAAAGAAGTACTCATATTCTGCTGTCAGCTGTGCAGGTATGAATCTGGATTGGGAGAGATCTGGGGGATCCCTTGGCACAGAGGAGCACTCGGGTGGGGTTTGTGGCAACAGTTATTTGTCATCAGATGCAGAGCATTTCTGTATTTTGACAATCATCACAGCCATACCTCTGTGGACTGCCTGACCACCAGTTCTGGTGTTTTAATGGTAGGAGTAATAGAAAAAAATTACACTGAACTATGTAAAGAAGAGTGAGACAGAATAGATGGATGAAAGAAAGAAAGAAAGAAAGAAAGAAAGAAAGAAAGAAAGAAAGAAAGAAAGAAAGAGAAAGAAAGAGAAAGAGGGAGGGAGGGAGGGAGGAAGGAAGGAAGGAAGGAAGGAATGAAGGAAGTGAAGGAAGAAGTAAGAAGTCCCTCAAGAACGGAAAGCCCGGGGCCCGGAAGGCGGCCGAATTCCTTCCGTCGGTCATGAGGGGAGTCCCCCAGACCCCGCCCCTCCAAAGAATATAGAGTATAAAAGACAGAACCAACACATCACACACACACGCACACATACACACACACAATCAGAAAACAAGTGAAACTTTACATCCATGGCAACAAGAATTTGTGGTCAAACCCTTTTTGTACTCAGCTTTAAAACGTCAGTCCCCCCAAGTTATGTTTTAAAGACTTTCTGTGAAAAGGCTATTTTGGTGCTTTTTAGTTGCTGAGGTTCCTGGCCAGTGAGCCAGGCACTGACCTCAGGAAAATGTGAGACATATTCAGCAAACAAGGAGGAAACTGGTCAAAACAGGGAAAAGAGCACTAAAGACAAGCAATAATATTATTCAGGAGAATGTCCAAGGGGTAAAAGCAACCCTGGGCAAGATAAGCAAGGTGAAACCCAGAGGTCCAAGAGGACACGGCGTTCCCTTCCAGGTTATCCAGGTAGTTTTCCGAGTCCTTCGGCCCTAAAATCATCCTTGATCAACAGAGTCTACGCTGACCAACACCAACACCTTACTCCTTAGTCAGCAGCTATATGAACAAAGCAGCACTGAGGGACCAAAAGGAAAAAGAACATTGACTTTGAGAGATAAACTTAATCAAGCTTCCCCACTTACTTTAATAAAGAGTTGTACTTTGTCACTCACTCAGAGGCAATTTGAAATCCATTCACAGTGAGAGATTAGAATGACCTTTCTGGTCTTGAAGTAGAAAATTGCTGCAAATTGCAGGTGGGGATTTCCAACCCATTAGTCAACACAGAAGGCAAACCCAGCCAAATGGAAAGCTCAAAAATTGCATGGAGTGAGAAAGTTAACTTTTTTCTTTCATGACTCTCCATCACACCATCCACTCGCATGGATCTAAGGTTTATCTCTAACAGAACTTGTCACCAGAAATCTTCCTGATTTGATTATGATGCTTGTATGATAAGAAAAATAAAGTATCTGTTACAAAAGATATTTGTGGTT